ATCTGTCTTTAGGATACTTCAGCACTTGCTTTTTAAAGTACTGTGGTTTCATGCTCCAATTCCTGAAGTGCCAGGGTTGCACCACCAGGAATCCCTATGTTAGAAGTCCTCGTCCTTATTGCCCCCTATCCTCCCTTCTGAACCCATTATCACTGCAGTAAAGCCATGTTGGAGATAATGGAATCATTGCCATCAGCAGAGGGACATAATGTCCTTCCTCCAGGATGATCTGGGAGGAAAAGAGTTTCAGAATGGGCATTTTGGATATTCTCTTCTTATGAAATCTTTCCTCTGGATTTTCACCCTAAAGACAGATGGCTCAGATCATGGTAGCTGTCACTACCTCTTTTTAAACGTGCGCAGGGTCTCTGACAGGCACACGCCACACGACCACCTCAGCACTCAGCAATAAAGCTCTTTGAGGCAAACCAAGGGTTCTGTACGTACCCAGAAGCACTTGTAAACCCTGCCCATGCAACTAGCTACCATTTTACTTTCATATGAGCAGACCGAGTGCAAACCTGGCTCTCAATTCAGCAATTTTTTGCTTTGCTCCCGTTATTCTTCCTTCATTGCTTTCCCGTGCACCTGTCCCAAAGGAGGGCACACACACCCACTCACACAGCGCCAGCACCTCCTAGGGCTGTGCATGGAGCTCTTGTTTACAACCACAAAAGCCACAGCCCCTCCCTATCACCCAACAGTGACAACATGGTGCATGGTGACAAAAATAAAGGAGAACAAAGTGTAAAACAAATTTGCTTTGGTTTGCTCACTATTTCAGACCAGCTATTCACCAGCTGGTCCAAAACAGGCATCTCTTAGAAGAGCTGGTAGAGCAAATGGAAGCAGTCAGCCTCCCCTTTTTCCTCCAAGAAGAACAGTGAACTTTCCTCTCTCATTCCTGTTGCCAATCCTTGATTCCCAGGCACTTTTGCAAGTGCTTTTTCAGGAGTTGTTCGATCTCACTCCTGCTTCTTCCTCCTTGCCCCGTTGGTTCGGACAGCCACATAGGCTGCAGTGGGTCATGCAAATCCTCTCACAGATCGTAGCAATGTCTCTGCTTTGCAAGCAATAGCCTCTGGATGTAGCATAGGGGAGCATTTGGGTCCATTGAGCAATGTAATCCCTAGACTATATGTGGACAGAATCTGTGGTGGCTCCCATGCGGGGGCTCTGCTGCATCCCTCTGGCCCCAAGTAGGGTGAGCTCCAGGTGCTCCAAGAAAACGGAAGCTGCTTTGGATGTTCACAAGACAAAAAGCTTCAAATTTCATCCTTAATGGATCCAGCCTCATCATTATGCTCAGCTCTCTATATTATAGGTGCCAGCCAAAGGAGTACCCTCCAACTGAGAGCTGGAGTTGTAACCAAGGCAGATTTTCCCAGAGGTCCAGACAGCAGTGAGATGTCCAACACTCAGCAACTTTCAGCTCTGCCCATTACTCAAATGTGGCCCATTTCAAAGCACATTTCAAAGAAGGCTATCGTCCTGGAAAGGTGCTGAGTTGTAACAACTATCTGAAGATGGTTGCAGGGAGTGGAGCAGGGCAGGGAGTTTGCAATCCATTAATGACTCCAGAATCACCCAGCAGCAACACATCCCAGGGAGGCTGGGAGATATACGAGCTGCTTGTGAAAACTATTTTATTGTGAAAAGCGTTAAAGGCATCCTTTAAACTGCCCCTCCTTGTCAGGTTTTATTTGCAATTCATTTCTGTCACACCTCAGGTCAAGCTACTGTGGATCTTGCAGTGGATTTTTTAAGAACATGTTTGCGTTTAATTGGTTTCTCAAAGATTATTTTGAATCCTATGTACACCCAGCGAGTGGCTGTCTGGGTCCTCTTCCAAGTTGGCCACCACAGCAAAATGTGAAACTTAACAGCGCTTTGTTTCATGTGACTGCAATTGCTGAAGGCCCACTGCCACACACTGGCAAAACTGGAAATCTATATTTTCCTAACATCCTGCTGACATTTTTTTTATCCATCGTCTTTTCTTCCCAAACACTTGCATGGAAACAAAATTTCTCTTTTCCCACCAGATTTCTCTCCCAGATTTCTCTCAGCTATTCCCCATCGGACTTGTTCTCCAGACCATTCACAGCTTCATTGTCTTTCTCTGGACACACTCCAGAGTCTCAATGACTTTCTTGTGGTGAGAGGCCCAAAACTGAACACAGCACTCGAGGTGCAGCCTCACTATTGCTGAGTACAGAGAGACGATCGCTTTCCCACTCCTTCTGGTTGCACTATTTCCAATACAAGCCAGGATGCCATTGGCCTTCTTGGCCACCTGGACACACTGCTGGCTTGCGTTCAGCCAGCTGTCAGCTAACACTCCCAGATTCTTTTCCTCTGCACAGCTTTCCATCCACTCTGCCTCAAGCCTGTAGTGATGCATGGGGTTGCTGTGACCAAAGAGCAGGACCCAACACTGGGTCTTGTTGAACTTCATCCCATTGGCCTCAGCCCAGCTATCCAGTTATGGGAGGAATGGCAAGGCCAGCGGGCCACAGGAGAGGGCTGATCACAGCATAATGAGCCAAGCACACAAACATTCTTTCAGTAAATTGGCAATGGATGGGAAATTCCTAAGAGGAGCACTGACTGCAGTGGGGCTCTGTATTTGTGGAGCTCTCTGGGTGAGCAGCTGAGGGCTTTCCATGTCTCATCAGACCCTGAGAAAGTCCTGGTGCTGTACCTCAAGGACAGCCCCAGTTCAAGGATAGCTTGCTCCAGAAATCTCCCCCAGGCTTTCAGTGCTTTCTCTGCACGACTGTTGCTGAGAATGTGATTAAACTTGTGAGAATTGTGATTAAACTTGAAAGAGACATTAACAAGGCTGGCAAGAATAACATCACTCAAGCTTTGGGTTCAGCTGGCGCCAACACTTCTCAGGCATTAGAGAAGGCCAAATCCCGCAGCAATTATTTGCCCTGGTGGGTGGGGCTGGGGTTTCTCTTCAGCAGCCCAGCTCCATCATTTCATCCTTCTTCCAGATGAGTGCTAGCAGAGACACTAAAGCCTAACATACAGATCTGAAGAGAGAATTCTGCTATTTTATTAGCTCTGGCAAATGATTTATAATCATGATTACAGAAGTTCATTTAAATTGCTTTTCTTGTTATTCTGGGATTTGTCTTTACAGAATTTTTTGCTCTATCAGTTTTTTAGTCAGACTTTTTCCTTCTCTGAAATTCATGACCTTTCTTCTTGCTAGTAAGAGTTCTTCAGAGCTGTCTGCTGGGTGCTGCAGCAAAAGTTTGGTTGAAACCTAGTGGAAGTTAGTAGGACTGCAATGGAATGGAGAAGCATTTTGAAATATTAACAGTTTGGCTTCTATTTTGAAACACCTTTAGTTGTGTTCTATAGTAATCCTGGAATCATTTTTGTTATCCACCGACAGCCTACTTGCAGCTTACATCACTTGTTAGTCCTGCTCGGGAGATACTTCATCTGATTTTTAAAAGCATTTACAAGCTATCGGGTTCCTCATATTCTCTACCAACACTGCTCAAACAGAATTGCTTAGAGCGGTGCCTGCTTTTCAGATAGAAGATGTTTCTTCTTCTATTGTTGAACATCAGCAACTATTCAAGGATGTTGTTGACAAGGAGAAAAGCTGATTGGAAGATCAGTTTCATAAGACGTTGTTATGCCCCAAGAACTCCAGCTCAGCAGAGCCAGAGTCATCTCATCAATTCCTGTCTTCTGCTTCACTACAAAATCCATTTTGTTGCAGATGGAATGACACCTAAAAAAAAATAAAAATAATAAAAAAAAAGGAGGTACTGCTTCATTAGTTACTCCTAAAGCTTTGCAACAGTGGGATTTAGTTTGACTATAAAGTCTCTGCTACCAACATGTTTCAGCCTTCCTTTTCCTTAACATTTCTCACCTCAAATGCCCCAGCTCTGCTGACTTGCAACTCACCTGCCACTACTCCTTCAAAAACACATCCCCCAAACTGAAGCTGATGCTGTAAGACATGCTAAATGGTTGTTGTTGTTCTTGCAACATTGTAATGACAGCAAAAACCCTAATATAGAATCAACCCTTCAAGCATACAAAAGATTTTCTTTTGTACATCTTATATCACTCGCCATGCCTGCAATATATATTGGCAAAGCATTTTTGCCAGTGTGCACTGCCTGCATGAAGAGGGTTGGATGGTGCAGTTATTCAAGCAGAACTTTTACATCTAAACATTGTCCAAAATGCTTAGCCCCCATAATTACTTGGTAGAGGCAACAGAGCTTTGTGTGTCTGAATTATGTGAGTGGGTGCAACAGAAACAGGTCAAGAATGGAGGCTGCTTCTCCCCTCTGAATTTATTGATTTCAAGTGGGCACTCAAAATTTTTTCTGCAGCATTCATTAAGAAAACTAGCACTTCTTTGCTGAAAACTGTAATTTTGCTACTTGATTTTTTCCTCTTTTATTGGAAAGGTGGAGGTGAAAAGAAGCAAGTTTCTTTTTTTCTGAAATGAAGAGCCTTCAGGTCTTATCCCAAGTGTCAAACACTCTCTGTGAGCCTTTAAAAGGAGAGGCTGCTGCATACTTTTTCACTACACCTTGTTTGTACCATGATTTCTAGGAATTCACTCTCCTTTTGTAGTAAGTGTTCCTTATTTGGTTTTAGAATAATTTTAGTTGAAAATTCTTTATACGATTCTTTCTCAGAATTGTATAATAACAGAATGGTTTGGGTTGGAAGGCTCCTTAAAGACCTTCTGATTCCAACCTTCTATATTCCAGGGATACCTTCTGCTAGATAAGGCTGCCCAGGGGCCCATCTAACCTGTCCATGAACACCTCCAGTTATGAGACATCCACAGCTTCTCTCTTCTTGGGTAACTTGCCTTAGCATCCTGAGTAAAGAATTTCCTTCTGATGTCTAATCTAAACCCACTGTCTTTTCTTTCACTTCTCATCAGCTTTTGATACAACAGAACTGGCTGCTTAATGATTAATTAGATCAGCCTAGCAATTCAAATAATTAGATACAAGGTACTTACTTTAGAAACTCTTTTAACTTCAGCAGTCAAGAGATCAGTGAGCAGTTAGCCATGGTGCATCAATGTAATGGGGCCCAATTTCCTTTAGTAGCTCATTTAGTGCAGCCAGGATGACGGTGAGAGATGTCCATAAGACCCAAAGGCCTTTGCCCTCAAAACACTCTCAGACCAAGAGCAAACAGCCTGACTGGAAAAAGTGGTGAGCCTGTGCATACTTTCCTTGATCTGGAAGAGATGGCAATTCACTGTATCACTGCACCAGCGAGGACATGTGGTGTCTGAAGTTTTTTGATAAGAAGAATGTCAGTGTGTCTGAGCAGCCTTCTGCTTCGGGTTTTTCAGGTGACATTCACTGGGAAAGATTTTCAATACTTATCCACCTGCCAAAATTCTTTTTTCTCCAAAGATTCTTTTTGCAGGCAAAGAGACCCAATGTACGCCTTCCTAGTGGCTTTACTCCTTGGGTTCTGTTGTTGCCTTTTTCTGTATTTCTCAATAAATTGGTCCAAATTTGCAAGCACTGATGGATGGGTGCCTGCCAAAGATGACCCTTAGCTTTTCATAAACGTATAAAATTCCAAAGACTGCAATATGCTGTTGGGGAAGCCACTCAGTATACAGGGTGGAGGAAAAGGTTGTCCTCATGGTTGAGCATCCTCTTCCCAACACTTGCCACTGTCTTGTGCTGCCTCTGTTCTCCACGTGCCCTTTTTGTAGTTTTATTCTCTTACAGCAACCACTTTTCCTACAAAGCTCAGAAATTCTCATCTGTATATTCAGAAGATACTAAAATGCCAAATAACAGATGATGGGAGCTACATGCTGTGCTAACACCATGCCATCAGCATATCCTGAGGCATTTTTATAGATGAATTTGAATCTGCTATATCAAAAGTTGTTTGAAGCAGAAAGTACACTCCCCCTTACTTCTCACCCCAGCACCAAACAAAATATGAGCTATTGTACGTGAGGGCCATGCAGAACACAGGAGCTCTCACCTCCTGCTTTTGCATCCGGCTTTCCATACCCCACAGGAGAAGAGGCCCCAGAGTTGGCTGCAGCTCTGGTAGCTTGGCCAGAGTGTCCTGGTATGTTTTTCAGCTCTGCATCTTCTCTCTGTCCTTCGTGGCTTCACTCTAGCTAGAGCAGGAATGAGCTCCCCCTAGGACAGAAACTAATGGGTCAATGCTAGCATCATTCAAGTCTTCATTCATGCAAGCCATTCACTCATGCAAGCCTTCATTCAAAGGAGACTGTCTCCTTGAGAGAGGAGGTATTTGCATAAAGCTCTTCTTGGGAGCTTTATTACTTTTTACTTTTTGATGCCTTGAGATGCAGTTTTTTAGAGGACAGTGTGAATGTGAGACCATCTTTCATGCTGGCATGATGTTGTGCGATGTTTGGCGGAGCTGCTTGCTCTTATTAGCCTGCTATTTGTAACTTATATGCAGAAGTGAGCCCTCCATAGCCAAACTCAAAAGAAAAATATTATTCTCTGGAAACAGAGACATTCTTTGGACTTTATGTCTGCTTACAGCAGACAGATCAAATGCATAAATTAGAAGGGTAGGTAGAGATTCTGAAGAGTTTAAGCCAGCCAGGGATCTGGCACACTATGTACATCTACTAGGGATAGGGTATTTTGTTTTTATTTTTATGGGAAACATTACTTCTTCATGTCTGACTTTTGCAGTTCCAGTAAAATATACAGTTGCATGTGAAGATGGTAGGAACACCATGACACCCCTCTGTGTTGACTGGCTCCCTGGTACAAGACCTTGGAATTCAGATGGCAGAGGGGAAATCCTGGATCAGGACTGAGAGCTGAATGAAAGCACAGCTAGCAGCACAGCTAAAATCTATCTGGAAGATTTAAATGGTGTAGATAGGAAGTTTGTCTCCAAAAGACACTCATGGGTCTTTATCCGAAGGCAGTATCATTAGAGGTGGTAGCAATGGAGGGCCATCTGGGGTTTTTGCCCTCTTCTGCTAGCATAAACTTATTTTCTGCCCTCAGGTACCCCAGAGGAAAAGCCAGGGCTGGAGGCTGGCCAATGAATATTGCTTTCATCATTGGTGCTCTCCAGACTGGTGAGAGCATGCCGAGCAGCCCAGGTCCCTGTGCTGGGAGCCAGCCGTGCTTCCACTCACAGCCACAGGCTAAATGGAAACCAGACGGGAACTTCTCCAGCCCCACAGGGCTCGCCTTCCACAGGGTCTGCTATTAATTAAGACTGAAGGGGAGGTTTTGAATAACTCCTTTGTGGAACAGAATACAGAATACACACAGTCCAAACCCAGCTGACAAACACAACAAAACTGACTTCATGGTTTCTTATGAGAAAACCGTTAATGGCTGGAGAAATGAAGAAACACTTTGTTCAAGTCACTAGTGTGAATGCAGCATATTCAGATTACAAAGCCATCCTGCCCTGCTATAATAAATATCATATAGCTTTATCCATGGGCAACCAGGTATATAAAAGCCAGTAATAACACATTAGGTTTCAAGTTAGCATACAGTACCTACTATTACGTTTTCCCAGAGCTCACTCACAGAAAGAGTCAGTGCTTCAACACCATCCAGTGCTTCCAACTCAGCAAACACCAACAGGGAGGTCATCCGATACCCACACAGGCCTGACTGACCTTCAGCTCTTTGTTCATGCTCTCCTCTTGTGTCAGCTCACAAGGGAGAAGGAGGCTAAGCGCTAAAAAGATTTAATAAATAAAAATCTCCTCTACCTCTGTGGCACGTCATCTTCTTTTCCAATTCGGTATACATTAGAGCTGATGATGAATAGTGATAGATTGCTCAGTCAGGAGGGAAGAAGTAGGAAAAAAAAAAGATTGTATTCAGGGAAATATTTAGGGCCTCCAGACCATATTCTGGGTGAATTTTGATGGTGTTGCTATGTACCAGGTCAGAACAAAGGCTGGAGCAAACTCCTCTCCCTCTACAGGCTGCAAAAGCTGTATTCACCACGTTTTACTTACTGCCAGCACTCAAAAGCATCTCAGAGGTGTCCAAGCCCAGTTCTTTCAAAGACTCAAAGAAACATTAAGGTTGGAAAAGACCACTAAGATCACCTAGTCCAACTGTCCACCTACCACCCATAATGCTAAACCACATCCCTTATTGCCTCATTCACACAGCTCTTGAACACTTCCAGGGTTGGTGACTCCACCATCTCCCCAGGCAGCCTCTTCCAATGCATCAACACTCCTTTTGAGAATAATTTTTTTCTAATACCCAGCCTGAACCTCCCCTAGCACAACTTGAGGCAATGCCCTCTTGTTCTATTGCTGTAACCTGGGAGAAGAGGCCAACCCCCACCTCGTCCCCACCTCCTTCCAGGTGGTTGTAAAGAGAGATAAGATCTCCCCTAAGCTTCCTCTTCCCCAGATTGAGCAATCCCAGTTCCCTCAGCTAATCCTTACAAGACCTGTTTCCTACTGTGGATATCTCTTGTATAGGCTTGTTAGGCACTCTCCATGATGCTTGTGAACCTGGCAGCACTGTTGCACTCAGGGCCACCCTTAAGTCAATCTATGAAGCATAGATCCAGCAGGTCCCAGTTTGGTCTCGTGCCATATTCTCCCTTTAAGCATTAGAACGTGAATCCCCTGAAGTCAGCAAACATCTTTCTGTTTGCACCAACCTCTCAGCTCTGTCTGGAGGTTCCTCTTCTACACAGCAGGTGAGTGAGTTGGAGATAAGACTGCAAAACGCATTGCTCTTTGACATCTGATCTAACCTGGGAACCCGAGCAACTTGTGGAAAAAGGCTGCCACTATGCCAAGTCAGCATTACATTCATTACAAATCAGGATAGTTTTCTGTAATATAAATATTAGCATCCAGAAACAGTAATTTCTAAACTTTTGTCACAATCCCAAAAAGAAATTCAAATCAACACACAGTACACATTAGGTTTCCAGAAAAACAGTGCCTTATTTTCTCCATGATTTTGTAGCAGTTATAATTGACTGTCCGTGTTTCTCTCCATCATTCTGAATATTTTCATGCAAAGCATGCCAAGTGGAATAAGAAATAATTGTTTTACTGCCAGATTGCAAAAGGAACTAACTGCAAAATAAATCAAAAAATTCCTGCTTCTACCTAATGGACAATGGATGCCTCATTTCACCTTTACCAGTTCTCAGAAGCCTGAAATAATCAACTGCTGAGGTATTCAAATTCAACAACAGTTCCTATGGGCTGCATTTCAAACTACTTAATCACTCCACAACAAATCCTCTTACACAACTGTTATCCAGCAACTTCAAACGTGAGATTGGTCCTACCTCTTCACCTTGTCCTGTCATGTTACAAGACTAAGTGTTCTCAGGCCATGAACAAGATGTTTGAACCATTATTGGGGTAAAGAAGATGTAACCTTAACCATGCATCATAAGTTTTCCAGTCACAAAAAAAAAAAAGGCTCAGCATCTCAGATTTGTCCTACTGAGATCAGGAGACCACATCAGATCCACCACTGTTGCTGCAGTTCAGTACTCACTTGCCCACAGGGCTCTGCACTCTTTTGTAATGGGTGCACAGAGATCTTCATACCTGCTAGAAAGCAGCTTCTCCTCTCTCTCGTTTCAAATGCACGATCATAAAGTCCGTGGTTTATACACAGGTACAAATCAGCTCCTGCTCTCCACCATGAGGTGTTATAGAGACAAGGATCTTTTTTACAGACACACGGATCTCAAAAACAACTGCGAATGCTAAAACAGGGTTTTTCATCTTTGCATTTTCAATGCTCTTCTTTTGTGGCTTCTCAGACTCTTCTGCTAAGAGACCATACAGTTTTACTCAAAAAGATGACCTGGACCATATGAGTGGGGATCACTGCAGAGAATTGAAAGACCTGATTTTTTTTTTCCACCAAAAATCACTACAATATTATTTGGTACACAGGTGTCCTTAGAAAGACTTCCGACTACTAGCCCTTTGTGATTTCTGGCACCTAGAAATATTAGAGATGAAGTCAAGTTTCCTCTTCAGATAAGATCTTAACTTACAGGAAGAATGGGTCAGGGTAATCACCCAGACCAAAAAATCACATTTTCAAATGAACACAGGCACCCCTGATTTCCATTCTCCTCTTCTTGCTAATGCAGGCTTGGTCTTTAGGCCATTTAACATGGATAGGTACAGCTCCTATCTGTGCACGAAGTGGGACTGTGAAAGATCCACTGGCACCCCTCTAAATGCGTAACACTTTACTTCAGTGGCTTGCATCCTCAATCACTTGCTGAAGTTGCAATTAACTTAGAGTATGCATTTCCTCTTCCTAAGGTTTCTCTTGTTTCTTCATAACTGACAGGGCATTCATCTTACAACTACTGTCAGAGCTCCCCTTCTTCCTCTTAGTTATTTTGGGTCTCCATTTCACACCATGGCTTTCTGCTTTCATCTGTAGTGTGAAGCTATCTGTTCTTCCAATCTAGCTACTTCTTTAGGCTCTTCAGGAAACACTAAGGAACAGGTTGTTTCTTCTCACTCCACTTCAGCCAAACCACAGGCTTCTTTTTAAATATCCGCCCTGGTGACCACAACACCACAGGAGCTGTCTTTCCCCTGGCTCTGACCCCAGCTCCCTCTGAGCAGATCATCAAATCAGCCTAACCTACTGAATGCAAGGACATACTTACTCAGCAATTTTTTTTTTTTACCTTGCACTGTGATTCCTCGTACATGGTGTCAGTCAGTAGGACAAATGCAGCCTTGAGAAAGACCAAACAACCTTTCACATCTCCACATCCAAAGCTTTCATTCTGTTCTGAATTGATTGTCTAGCTGGATTGCATGTTTGACAATCATCACAAAATATGCCAGGAGCTATATTGCTGCTTGTTTCTAAGTGATACCCATACATAGGATTTATCATCAAGTCTTCTTCCAACTGAAAGGATAAGCTGTGTTTGCTCTGTCCAGACTTCACAGAATAGAATTTCACTTTTGCCAAGAGAGACCATGGAGCAGTTTCCTTCAAAGAACTAACTGGGCAGAGCCAGGAACGGATGGGAAAATATGGGTATGAATAGAAATTACGTCCTCCAATTACTACACTTACACTTACTGCACTGGACTTTTCTCTATAACATATTTCTTAAAATGTCAACCACTTCATTAGGAAGAAAATAATAA